CCCTCCCGCTCCTCTTCCTCCTCCTCGTCGGTTACTTCACCACCTCAGCATCACCGGCGGGGGGCTGGGAGGGGGAGGGGTGGATGGGCCCTTCTTCAAGGCCTACAACCATCACAGAGCAGAGCAGGAAGCTCGTCTTCGAGGCGAGGATTTACTGTAGCCGCTTCAGTTAAATGCATCTGGTTCATCCTCTGTAGTCTGTATTCTGCTCTTCTCACCTCACCTTCAGTTAAATGCATCTGGTCAGTGATATGATTCAGAGCATCAGATTCACAAGCATGATGGATGGAGGGATCTCTCAAATGGTGTGGCTCCTAGTACTACAACGGCAGTGACATGCCGGCCTCCCACACGCGCATAGCATGCACTGATCGACACCTACGATCGAGTTGTGACCAACTGTACAACTGTACATGCATACATGATATATACAGTACCACGAGTAGATAAGCATGCATGATATGTGCAACAAATTTAGAGGAAACGCATGCCAATCATGATACTCCATCAAAATTAAGTTTGGAGTATGTGCAAAAGATTCACGGGAGTAGCTAGCTTTGCATGTATGTGTCAAATGTGTGTGTACTAAGATGAGACAGTTATCAAATTAAGTGCCTTCTGAAAGCAACAAACAATGATGATGATTCAGGGGAGTAACAATTATGGAGTAGTACAAACTTGTAAGCAACAACAAGCTCTGCTTCTGCAAAAAATAGAAAACAACTCTGCCTCTGTTTTGGAGAAAAAAAAGTGAAGGAGAAAGATTGTGTGTGTGGATGGAAATCAAGAAGAGGCAAATAATGTCCAGGCCACTTTAGTGTTCACCACCTAATCCTATCCACCTAATTTGCCTTGCAGATTAACAGGTATGGTGCAGATGTGGTGGAGTATATCTTTTGGAATGGGCATGAACCGGCCAAAGTTCAGGTAATCTACTTACTGCAGTTGGAATAGTTGCCCTTCTATTTACTCAACTGAAAGAAATACTCCATAATTTAAATATCATGTGCCAAATATGCGACCTCGTTAGAAATACTCCATAATTTAACCCAACAGAAAGAGTTGATCAACATGAATTTTTCTGGAGTAGTTCGTCGACAGTACATTGAATCTAAAAAATTCAGTTAAGCAAGCATGCTACTCCTATTTTTGGAGTAAAAATTCAGTTTAATATTCATTAAAAGAGCTTGGCATCTCTGTTTGCATCTAGGAGTACATCTGGATATTCTTTGCTGAAGAGAATATATACTCCTAGAAAACAAGTAAAGAATATACTCCAAGTTCACACATAAACACATACTCCTTTTCTTGTAAACACGGAATACACAAGTACTCCCAACAAACTGGAGTAGAATACACAACAAACTGGAGTAGGATCAGCGTCCAAGCATCTCTAGTGCCATTGCATACACTTCAGGAGGAACTGAGATCCTGGGCGGTAGCAGTTGTAGCCTTTCTAGCCTATCCTTGTTCATGTGCGGGATTTTGTATTTATTGGCTCCACCATTCTTCATTACTTCAACCATGCAAGTCTGCAGAGTTATAATACTCTGTTCAGTTTTGAAACTTCATATCCATCGAACTCCTCTTGAACACCTTTAATCAGCTTTGGAATAGTTTTTGGACTTTTGCAGTCTGTTAGCGACTGAATAGAGCTGAAGAACCCAAGGTCCAGGGCGTTCATGTCCGGAGAATTTGGAGGCTGATACATTATTCTAATGTCCAGGCCACTTTCGTCCACAGCTTCTGCGAATGCTTGATCATTAGGTAGGATATGTGTTCTCGCGTTATCTTGCTGGATAAAAATGGGTCGTCCATCATCATCTGCAGGCCACAATGCTTGAATCGCTGGCACAACCTTCTGTATAATGTACTCTCTCATCACATCCCTCGTCACTATGACAGGCTTTGTTTCCAATGTCCCCTTTTCCCTATTCTTGCTTCTTTTTGCTGCTGCAGTCACTCTCACGAATGGCCATACCCCAATTTTTCCGGAGAATGTCATGTTCCCATCTTCATCAAACCGTGGTCTTGCTACCGCTGTGAGAAACATCACTTTTCCAATAGAGTTTTTGACAGGTCTTTTCGGGTCCTCTTCGTCAGGCAGCAGATAGTAGTTCTTTTTTTCTTGGTCATGGAGAACCATTTCTCATCGATGTGAACAATATTATGCATACTCCTGAAACTTGGGCTTACATCTCCTAATGTTGCCTCATCTAGCATAGAGAGGCAAAAATCCACCCTATCTCTCTTATTTTTCTTTGTCAGTCCCGGCTTAACCCTGTTGGAGTGTTTCCTTATCTTGTTCAACTTGAACTTCTTGTATAGTGTAGTAGGGCTTACACCCAGTGCCTTGGCTAGAGATCGAATAGTTGACCTCTTGTTCAAGGGAATTGTCGGAATGAGAGATAGGATATCATCATAAGATTTTCTTCCACAATTTTCCTTTCTTTTGTTTGAAACATCCACCTCCTGACCAAGGCCTTTCTGTTTCATTGCCGTCTCCCATATTCTTTGAATAACTCGAACATGTGCTCCAAATATTGCAGCCACATCCTTCTTATCAGTTCTCTTGAACTTGCCTCCTCTACTCTTATGGAGGGTTTCCAAGGACATGTAAGCGGCATATCTCTGTGCATCAGTGAGCCAATTCCTTTGCCTTTGTACTCCTACAATAGCAATAGAATAATAAAATTAATTATTGCAAGAATATTACAAATTGGTTGCTGGAAATGTAAACAAGAGGCCAACAATAGCATTAAATTCCATGGGATAGGAGTATTGCTTGCTTTGCTTGCTGTAAATATAAACATAAATGCTGGTTGCTGAAAATATAAATGTAAACTAAATTTGTAAATATAAACTAAACTTTATACTCCATGATTGACCTCTATTGCAGGCAAGCAAGCAAATTACTCCATAATTTGTTTTTGCATTGCTTTTTCTTTTTAATTTGGAGTAGTATGAAAATATTTTGAGGTACACCGCTGTTCTTGCAGCAGTTTCTTTTCCATTCCTAGCTGTCAGAGTATATGTTTATTTACACACATACATGATGTCAGAGTATATGTTGTTTGATGTACACAATGGTTCTTGCGGAGTTTGTTCAGTTTGCCTATAAGCAAATGAGGCAAAAACTGAAATACCCCCGTAGTTGTCCAGGAGACCTCTGTTGCTTGTTGAAAATATAAATGTTGCTTGTTTGCTGAAAATATAAATGTAAATGTTGCTTGCTGAAACTAATGTTGCTTGTGTTATCTCCTTCTTTCTAGTATGCCTTGTGTACCATGACATTTCTTTGTTGTAATTTTAATTACTCCATACAGAAAGAAAGAAAGGCAACACCAAATTTGCTTACTCCACTAAAATGTTAATTACTCCATTCTAGTGGAGTAATCTTTTTCAGCCTTCCATAGAGAAAACTGTGATATCCATTTCATTTGATTTAGCCACTTTACTACTCCATAGCGTAGTAGTGTTGAATAACATGTGAACAAAATGAAGCTTCCTCATATGCACTATTCAATCTTAGCAATCCCTTCTCTGTTACTTCTCTGAGGCATAATTTGATGCAAGATCGGAGTACCTGAATTTTGACCAGCATTGTTGCCTTCTTCTTCAGGTTCTTCGTTGCCTTCTTCGGGTGGAGTGAAATTGAGGTCTAGGACTACCATGCTTGCAATTGGGCCAACGATTTGCTGCTATTGCTGTTGAGGATCTGCTGCCGTTGCTTCTGTTGAGGGCCAGTGATTTGCTACTGTTGATATTGAGGATCTGCTGCTGTTGCTTCTATTGAGGGCCAATGATCTGCTGTTGTTTCTTCTGTTGAGGATCTGCTATCGAAGGGAAGGAGCTACAGTTGAGGATCTGCTACTGTTGCCAGGGGACAAGCCGGCAAGGAGCACCGAGCCTGGAGGTGGTCACGCATGAGAGGAGCTCCTGATCTTCTCCCCTGGCCCCCGGCGAGCTGGACCTTCTGGCGACACGGGGAAGAAGGGAGGTGGTTCTGGGCGAGCTTAAGCTTGCCGGCGAAGTGCTGCTGGGGCCGGCGGCCGGCGAGGTGCCCTCCTGGGGCCGGCAGCGAGGTTCCTGGATGAGCAGGAAGCTGGGCAGGGAGGAGGAGATCCTGGGCGGAGGAGAATCTGGGCGAGGTGGGAAGGGAGGAGATCCTGGCGAGGAGAATCTGGGCGAGGTGGGAAGGGAGAAGCTGGGCGGCGAGGTGTGCGGTGAGCCGGCGACGCGCTGGGAGGCGACGCACTTGGCGAAGCGATCCCGATGGTTTTTGAATTTCAAATTGATCGAAGGGTATTGTTGTCCATTAGCGATTTTTGGGGCTGTCGGAAATCTCCTTCCGCGCCTTACAAAAGTGAACGGAGGGAGACGTTCCCGTCGATGACGAGGTGCCTACGGTGACTTCGTAAATTTTAAGATGATATGCTGGCTCAGTCTTTCGAAGATGCTCATAGAGATAGGGATGAATGTATGCGTATGTATATAAACACTTGTTGTACTGTATTAAAAAATATTATCTGTCTTTTATTACCTACTTATTTTCGAGCGCACATATGTGCATGAATCACGACGCGGTTTACTCCAAGCAGAGCATTTCTGCTCAATCACAGTGCACGAGGTCTCGGAAAACGCGGCGTGTTCGCTCGACCAGCGCGCGTTGTTTAATTAATAGTACTACCTCCGTCTCGGTGAATAAGTCATTCGTGTAATTCTAGATGACGATTTAACTATCTAAATATGTATTATATGTGACAAAAAATATATATTTAGAAATTACATCCGTGTAGAAATATAGTGATATACTTTTTATGACATATAACACATATTTAATTGCTCAAATCGATGATTTAGAACTATGCAAATCACTTATTCCTCCAGACTGTACTAATAATTAATTAGGAGAAAAGGATAAAACAAAAGAGATGCGGGCCAACATTTTACTACTCCCTACTCCACTGCCAACAAAACCTCCACTGCCATTGTCTGCAATGGCGTCTCGGCCTTTCCCACGGGAGTCCCCTCGCTCCCGGCCTCCTAGCTCTAGCTCTCTCTCCGCCTCCGTTCAAATGGGATCCTCGCCTGCGCCTTCGCCTTCGCCTTCGACTTCGCCGCCGATGCCGATGATAGGGAGGGCCGGCAACCTCACCGTCTTCATCACGCCGCCGTCGCCGGCCAGCACCCCGCGCTCCTCGCGCCCGTCCGACTCCCCAAGGCCGGACTTCTCCACCCCTACCTCCCGCACGGGTACGGCACCGCCTCCGCCGCAGAAGAGCGCTAGCCCGCCCGCGCCGCCGGTCAAGTTCTCGCCCCCTGCACCGCCCGTGAAGGTGTCCCTGCCTCCTGTGCAGGTGCCCCCGCCGCAGTACGGAAAGGCTTCTGCGGGGGGCAAGCACGACGGATCGGTGTTCGGCTTCTTATGGGACGCCGTCGCGCGCGTGCAGGAAGGTGATGGGGGAAAACATTTTCGTCAACTCAATTGCATCTCAGTTTTCTCTTCACATTTCCTGGATTGCGTGTTCTGATGCGCGGGATTCTTCTGGGTTGCCGCAGCGCACGCGAGCCTGGACGAGTACGTCGCCAACTGGTTCGGATTGGATCAGTCTAAGTACCAGTGGGCTCTCAACGACTACTACGATACCACCGGCAAGGTTCGTGCTTTTCGATTTCTCCTCTGCAGTTTCCCTCTAGCTTTGAGGAATCGGATTCCATGCGTGTCCACTTGGTTCTCTTTTTCATTCATGTTCTTAACTGGATCTGCGACTGCATGTGAGAACAATTTGAGAGTAGAGTTTCATACTCCCTCCGTTCGGAATTACTTGTCTCGGGAATGGATGTATATAGAACTAAAATACGTCTAGATACATCCATTTTCACGACAAGTAATTCCGAACGGAGGGAGTACGTACTAATTTTGCAGTCTTTATAATTATGATAATTATTGTGATGAAGATTTGGTGGGTGAATTGCATCTGTGGTTGCGCTGCTCTTGTTATCAGTTGAGGTTCAAGTGTTGATTAGGCAGTACTGGTTCCTAGTGCTTACTGCAAAACTAAAGTCAATCTCATCTTGTTATAGTATCTGTAAAGCTGGAAAAGGAAGATAGAAACACAAGGCAAGAATAGATGCCTAATCACACCTTTTAGCTCCTATAGAAATGATGAAGAATTTCCCTGGGCACAAAATGTGCACTAGGCTTGTCATATGTCTAGAGTAGCATACTTTCACTTTGAAGCTTTTGTAAAGTTGTTCCCTTGTTCTAGCTTTGAGTGCACCGGCTGTTTGAATTGATTATAGCCTCTCAACATACTTGTGTCCGCCTTATGTTTATTCTTGACAATCATCACTGGCAAGCAGGTGAAATAACAGACCTTGTCTTTGCTGTTATGTTATTTGCATCATTCAAGTGCTCATGTCATTAATCTAATTCTACCCTTTAACCTTTAACCATATGTTCAAACGCAGAAATGGCACTAGAGTGATAGGAGGTTTGATTGGGGATTGGAGAGAAACAAGCATAATACTACTAGCGTGTTGCTACAGTTGAAAATAGTTGTCTTTGGTACCATACTTGATGTGTAATTAGTGTATCTATACTTGCGTCATTTCATACTTTGGCCTATATATTGCATAATTTCACATTCATAATACAATTTGGGGTTGAAGGTGGTTGGCGTTAGATTTTGTAATGGTTGGAGTATTTCTAATTGTAGGAGATGTCATCATGTTACAATAATGATATAGCGAATTGGTAGAAGCCTTAGGTCGTTACAAATATAATATTCAGAAAGGATTTGTTGAACCTTTTACCATGGAGATAGTGTTACTATGCCCTCCAGTTCAAAAGGGTAAGTTGTAATGTAATATACTTAAAGTCTCCGTTACTATAATACTTTGAAGGCAAGACACGATATAAATGTTTAAAAAGATATCGATAGCCAGAGTGCACATAATCTAAGAGCATCTACATCCGGATCCCTCAAATTCCCCTATAGGTCCGGGCGGACGGCCCTGTCACTGCCCGGTCACGAAATTGCCACCCAACTGGACCACTCAAAACCCCCCATACGCCCAGGCTGTCCGGCACCCCCCAAACCCAGCCCGTATGTGGGACGGATATGGGGAGACCCTGTCGCGTTCGCCACGTCAGACTGGCCCACCCTAAACCCACAAATATGCGCCCCTAGCCGCATCCCGGACCAAACCCTAGCCACTCGACTCCACTTCCAATCCGCTTCCCCCAGCTCCTCTCCAGCATGGCGGGCATCGGATCTGAGTCCGGCAACTCTGGATCCGACGGGTGACGGATCTGAGTCTGGCAACTCCGGATCCATCGACTGGGACCTCGTCCCATGCAAGGAAGAGGAGTTGGCTGTCCAGCTGGTTGTCCGCTGTTCTAGGGAGGAAACCCGTGCTCCGCCATCAGAGTCACTTGGTGGGAATCCATTGCATCCGCGCAAGTGGGGCCTGTATCCGGCAGCTTGGGGCGCATGACCGCGGCAGAACCGGAGGCGACGAGCAGCGGCTGGAGGTACCCGCGCGCCTAACCGGACGGCTCCGGGCTGGCAACACAACCCTTGTGGTGGAGCCTCGCCCCCGTGACGTCGGGCTCTAAGTCCAAGGTCAACGCCGTCATACGGCACGACCACTGATGCGTCAAGGAGCGGCGTGCCCGCCGTACGAGGGAGAAGTTGCGCCATGCTGCAAAGGACAAGAGCGTTGATGCCCTCCATGCCTGCATCCTGGCAAAGCGGCAAGCCCAGACGGCGTGCTCTCGCACTGGAGCAAACCCGGGCACTCCATGCCCTCGGCGGCCTCCCCCCCAAAGAGTAGATTTAACTTGACCCATAGTGCATCTTCGACCGCTACTTATGCGACGAAGAGGGCAAGGGCAAGGGAAGGGCGGCCGTGGGTGAACTTCCTCCATAGCCATAGTTTATAGCTAGTAGAACATGCCAATTTTTGGTAGTCCGATGGCATGTATGAGAACTCTCCAATGCTATGTGTGTTAATCTAGATGAAATGCGTATGCTGGTTTGAACTTTGCATGAAGATTGTTGGAATTGGGGGTTTTCGTGTGAGGG